ACTTCACGCTGGTATTCTGTGAGGTCGTGGTACCACCTCGGTTCGAGCCGGCCCATCCGTGCGACAGCAAAAGCTGCCGTCTGGCTCTACCACTGTTAAATAGCGATCCTGTAAAATAGCATTACGCTATAAGCAGGAGTGCTACCGGGCCTGGGCTGACGCATCAACGTCTCGGGATGTAAACACCAGCGCTCTTAAAAAGAAGTATAATTCCGTCTCCAGGTCCTTCAAAAACGTCATTGCCAAGGCAAGTTCTGGGTACATCGGCATAATTGGCGAGAAGCTAGATCGTCTGCCTTCGGGAACCCGTTCATTCTGGTCTCTCGCCAAGGCTGTCCAAGGAAACTTCTGTCAGCCATTTCTTCAACCTCTGCACAGAGAGGACGACTCACTGGCCCATGCCGCAAAGGAGAAAGCCGATCTTTTGAGCTCTCTCTTTGCGTCCAACTCGACTCTAGATGACGGGGGGAACACACCGCCGATTATCCCGCGATGTGAGTGCTCCATGCCGGATGTGCGGTTTACACAGCGCTTGGTTCGCAAAGCACTCCTCTCCCTGGACGTCAGCAAGTCGAGTGGGCCCGATGGAGTCCCTCCCATTGTGCTGAAGACGTGTGCTTCGGAGTTGGCACCGGTTCTAACGCGTATTTTTCGGTACTCCTGCTCCCAAGGCGTAGTCCCGAATTCATGGAAGACAGCTTAGGTTCACCCGATCACTAAAAAAGGCGACCGCTCTGACCCGTCCAACTACAGGCCTATCGCCATCACCTCCTTGTTCTCCATAATAATGGAATCCATTATAAACTGCTAGCTCATGGGGGTACCTTGAGGATCACCAGCTGATTAGTGACCGCTAGTACGGTTTTCGTCGGAATCGATCAACTGGTGATCTTATGGTCTACCTGAGTCATAGATGGGGGAGGCAGTAGAGTCTTAAAGGGCAGACATTGGCCGTTAGTTTGAATATAGCGAAGGCCTTCGATCGGGTCTGGCACAAAGTGCTTCTTTCAAAGCTTCCTTCCTATGGGCTTCCCGAGAAATTGTGCAAATGGATCACCAGTTTCTTTGCTGATCGGAGCATCAAGGTCGTAGTAGACGGCGCATGCTCTGATTTCAAGCCTATCAACGTTTGTGTTCCACAAGGCTGCGTGCTATCACCAACGCTGTTTCTCCTGCATATCAATGATTCGTTGCAAACTGGAAGCATTCATTGCTATGCGGATGACAGTTCTGGTGATGCCTTATATACCGGCCGTGCCAATATTTCTCGGGAAAACGTCGCCGAGTACCGGGACAAACTTGTGTCTGAAGTCGAATCTTTGCTGAACGAAGTCTCGGATTGGGGGCGACTAAATCTAGTCCAGTTCAATCCCCAGAAGACACAAGTTTGCGCGTTTACCGCTAAAAAGAACCCCTTTGTCGTATCTCCTCAGTTTCAAGGCACTCCCGTTGCTGCCTCAGCTAGCATTGGAATCCTCGACGTCGACATATCGAATAGTGTGCAGTTTCGTGGTAACCGTGGACCGATACGAATTAGGAACCTTCAATAAAAGAGCTTACACGTTTTCAGAAGGCCGGCAACGCATCTGCAACTCCCCTGGTGTTGCGGTTGTTCATGGGCGGCGGTAGTTTTGTACATAATCGATAGCCAGACAGAAAAGAATTATTAATAGGGCTCCTTTTGGCTTTTAGTATGGAACTCGGCACGTCAGGCACAGTATCAAAAAAGCGACTTACTTTTAAAAGAAAAATATTTTTATTGCGTGGAAATATTACAATAAATGGAACAAACTTAACCCACTTCAACTAGTAAACAAGCTGACTAAATTCCTAACTACAACTGGAAATATGGATGATGTAACCCAACAAATTTAAAGTTTATGAGTACCGAGTACACGAAAGCCTTTTACCATGCATGCTGTTTGTGCTGCATTTTTGTTTGTATTGGCGAATAAACCGGGTTATTTAAAAGCGATCTAGTAGAATCGCAATTTAAGCTTCCAACGGTTCGAATCACGCGGTGGAACATGTAAGATTCGCATGGGATGATTGCTAGATGTGTAAAACTTTTTGACATATTTAAATATGAAATTGTTTAATTAATCTTTTAGAGATATGCAAATGTAATATAAATGGGTTTTTGCTATAAAGACACTAAGTGTAAGGAATGTAATATAATACACCAACTTTTGTTTCGTGGTTGACTGACAGCGTGTTGGCAACCGATGTGTGACGGAAGATCAATTTAAGTTGAATTAGATTTTATAGACTGGTCAGCAAGTTAATTGGCATCGCTTAGCATGGTGAGTTTCTGAAAATCTTCCAAGTAAACTACACTAGCTTGGGCATTCATCAAAAGGTCAAGTACAAAGTGTATGCCCAGCTGTAGCCTAAAAAGACTGTTGATATAATGTCGTATTGGTAATTAAATTCGAACTGTGTGTACATTAATTACGAAATAACGTATTTCGAACAATATTATTCACAGATCCAGCTAGTTTTCGTAAGAAACATAGCAAAGCGCAGGTAAAGTAAACAAAGTTATTTATTTTGTTGATATTTTGACTAATCTGTCTGCAAAACATGTGGAACTTTTAGTCATTTTGTCAACGGAATTTTTCAGGAAATTATGAGTCAACGATCAAGACTGACTGTCTTTTGAAACTTGCCACTTTTGACAGACGGGTTGGTAAACGCAATTATTTAAATATTTAGTTATAAAAATGACGCTGCTGCCCATCTCCTGGTTTGTATTGGTCTCTCTGTCACGTATTACGACCACCACGAGATGTTATGGGGTACAGCATATTCTTGTACATTCTTACACCGCTACTCCACGGTAGACTAATGGTTTACAATACAGACTGGTAAGGTAAAAAGTATTGCATTCGAATTCGTTATTCGAATAGTATTGTGGACCACTTCTAGCACAAATATTTTAAACTAGCTTATTTGGAATGATGTAACGTGAATAATAATTAGCAGTGTTAATAGCATTTATTGGTAGTATCATTTGTATTATTTTTGAAATTCATAACGTCACAATAATAATATATTCGCGTGGTGATTGTGGCTATTACAGCATGTTGGTGACGCAAACTCAAAAGATTATATCCATCCAAAAAAGGGACCAACGCGCATGTCCTACGCACAACACGTCATGCTTATAGCTACACATATACTGTTAACATTTGCATGTCGGTGACGCGAACTCATAAGATTGTGCCCATATTAAAAGGAACTAACGCGCATATTATGCGCGCGACACGTCTACTTATAGCTACAGATAAATTGTTAACATTTGCATGTCGTTGACACAAACTCATAAGATTTTACCCATATAAAAAGGAACTAACGCGCATATTATACGCGCGATACATCATACTTATAGCCACAGATTGTTAACATTCACAGGTCGGTGATGCGAGCTCATAAGATTTTACCCATATTAAAAGGAACTAACGCGCATATTATACGCGCGACACGTCATGCTTATAGCTATACATATACTGTTAACATTTGCATGTCGGTGATGCGAACTCATAAGATTTTATCCATATAAAAAGGAACTAACATGCATATTATACGCGCGACAGATTATGTTTATAGCCACAGATATACTGTTAACATTTGCATGTCGGTGGCGCGAACTGATTTTACACATCAAAAAAGGGAATCAACGCGTCTATAGAAGTTTTCATATTAATAACGAGTTTTTCATGGAATAAGGGTGGCAAACGAGCACACAGTACTCCTGATGATAAGTGGATGCTGTGGCCAATAGAAGTCGCAAGTGTCATAAATTACACAGTATGATCGTGGGAAAATTCTGAGTAAGTCGCATCGTAGTAGACCTCCAATCATCGATATGAGGATGGAATTTCGTGTTCTGTATCAGTGTACGATGGTAAAATTTAGCAGCTGAAATTAATAAGCCATTCCTCCGAGCATTTCCCGTGGTATATGCGATAGAAGATGCACACACATGTAACGTCTCTTTGCAAGGCCAGTGGATCAAGGCGATCGGAAAGAACTTGGTTGTCGACGATTAGGAGCGGCTCGTTGAATGCGGTCAAGTGGAAGGAGCTGATACTGGGGTGCCCCGGCTCAGAGATGAGAACAGTAGTATTATAAATGTTATCCGTGTTTATATTATGTACTATATAACATAAGTTTATTAGCAATTCTCTATTTTTAAAATAAGTAGAACGCTAATCTCTATAACATTTCATATTCAAGCACTCACAAGGCTAATACTCACTGTACTAAAAGCGTTATTTGCACGTATGTCAAAGCAAATTGGAGAGAAAAGTTCAAAAATACAGCACACATTAAAAAAAAAACAAATGCCTTTTTCGTGAAATTCTTCTTTTTGTACATAAATTTTACTATAACTCATTTATACTACGACACTACTGAGATACGGCTTCAATCATAGATAGCTCTGATAACAAAACATGGTATGCGATTAGATATTGGTAACCGAAATATAAAATGTAATTTTACGCTGCATATTCACATCGTGGATTAATTCTAAATATTGAATTCTAGATTCGTTATAGCTTATAAATTACTGGGTTTCCATGTAGTGAGATGGCAGCGTGACATCACACCTTCTCGACCCGTAGGTTTCGTTAGAGGCTACATAGAAATTGCCTGAAAGATCTCATGGTCTCCGATAGATAGCGTACATCTATGCCATCAATAGTTTAAATTATAATTCTAAATGTCTAAAGATATCATGCACATCACATCTAAAAAGTAAATATGTATATAGTCTTTGGCAATACGAGTATGCACTCGATATGGAAATTCCCTTTTTAAGACAAAGGTAATGCAAGACATTGCTTCATAGGTCGAAGACAGAAAAAAAAACAGATCATGTCGATTACACCCAGTGTAAAGGTCATAATATCTTATATACTGCATCATGATACCTTGTGTAGAACTTGCGGAAAAACAAAAAAAAAAGGAACACGTGAGAAGTTAATACCACTTACTTAGGTTTGGAGTAGGGCGAAGACGGCGATGACATCTTATGGTTCCTGTTAGGGTGCGTGTGGCGATTCGCGTTCGTGTCCAGGCCGCCGCCCGGCGATATTTTGCCGGCGAGTGCGTTCAGTGAGTGCAGCATGGCGGGCGGCGGCCGCTTAGTGCCGACGGGCCTGGTCACGGTGAAGATACGTCCCCGTTTGTGCAGAGTGCGGTCCTAGTTGATGCCTTATCTGCTGATAAGAGGCGCGGGGGCACGCCCGCCCCGCGCCTCATCGCCACCTGACACTGTCGCACACACACATATGCACACACTCGCGAGTTTTTTTTCTAATGTTTGCTCCCTTAGGTCTCGATTCGGGTCAGCGTCCTGTCCGGTCGGAGCATGTTCCCATCGTATTTTGGATATTGATAACACTACGTCAATTTCACTATTTAATCACTATTTTCCGTCCTGTAGCCGACAAGGTATAAGCTATTGATGGGTGTTGCGATATTTCACTGTCAGGCGTATATTAAGTTTTGCAGACAATATGATTGATGTTTCGGTATATATGCTGTTAGTATGCGGTAAAGACTATCCACGTTACATAAATGAATACTTTACTTCTCCCTTATAAATGCAAATCATTATAATTCAAAATGACAACCAGTTTTCTTTTACCACGTTTTCAGTTCTAAGCTATGTTTAAAGTTTCAAGTATCTAGCTCAGCGGGAAATTAGTTTAAAATCGAATGCGAAATTTTTTCTAAAGCTTTAAATATATATATATGCTCACTGGAAAGTTTAAAAAATTGATTGCAAAACTGAAGAGACATACAGAGAGGAAAGCGAGCTAATGACAACGTAGTAAAAAAGAAAACACTATAAGTCATTTGTGTGTACAAGATGAATATCTTTAAAATTTTAAAATAATTTGATGTCCGTTAAGACAGTCGAGTGTTTAATAAAACACAATCCGTTTACTTCCAGGAGGTACCGAGCTGGAAGTGAGTCACTCGACAAAAAGATGGTGAACGTGCCAAATAGGTCAGCTAGCGCCTGAGCAAAAAGTAAAACGCTGTTATGTTCGTCACCTGATAATAATTTAAGTGCAGGCGAATTGATAAATCGTTGTCAGTTGTGTTGATAATTGCAATATGAATGAACCGGTTATAAATTTGTGTCTTAACGACTTATATCTAAAGATATGTGCATTAGTTTTTTTTTAATATTACAAACGAGCTAACGGTTCACCTATACGGTAAAGGCACGCTGCAGCTATTGAAGGACCACGCTGTCGCAAAATAGGTACCAGCGTAAAATAGCAACTTAATGATGCTGTATTTCATATGGTGAGTGTAGAGAACTGGAGATCCTTTTTTACTGGAAATAAGGCATTTCATCTTAGTCCTCAAGGGTGACAACGCATCTGCATTTTGATATTATCTATAGGCACCAGCATCCACTTACCATCAGGTGGACTGTGTGCTTGTTTGTCACCTTTATTCTATAAAAGAAGCGTCCAATGAAATTTTTTTCGTGACGTTATTATCATTTCCTCTTTATATAAGTGAGAGGAAAACGTGCAAATGTTGTGTAAGTCCTTTGTATCCTTGGAATCTCTGGCGTATTAAATGAACCTCAAAATGTGGAGATATGATGATAATTTAACATTAAAATATGGAACTCACTATAAAAGCTAATAGAGCAGGAGAAAAAATTTTTTTGAACATTTACTCTTATATTAGGTCTTTGTTGTACTATATTGAAATAAACAAATTGATTTGAATAACAGATATTTCGTAGTAACTTATTAATTTAGTGTAAGAGTTTTTTTTATAGAATAAGGGTGATAAACGAGCACATAGTCCACCTGATGGTAAGTGGATGCTGTGGCCTATAGACATATATCTATCCTAGATTAAGAATTAAAAAGCAGATATGTTGTTATTCCTTAGGGTTATGACGGATTGCATCGTTTTCGGTAAAAAGGGTCTCCGGTTATCTACACTCACCATACGAAACACAGCAGCATTAAGCTGCTATTTTACTGGTATCTGTGAGAGCATGGTCCTTCGGCGGTCGAGCTGACTCATTCGTGCTGCAACCATAACATAACTGCAGTGTGGCTCTATATAACATAAAAAATCAATCTATTAGTCGGCATTCATTAACGTGTTGGCAAAAACAGTTTTGTAAATTTAAGTACTAAGCCAGCTTACTGGGCGCTAGTAATATTCGTGCTATTTAATATAAAATTTCATTGTTAATACATTGTATCGGCCGTTTGCCAAGCGCCAAGTACAACTGTTGGCGTGCCAAACGTCTATGTTCTTATTTCACACTTAAAATTTCATTTCTCAAATAAAAGTACCGACTTTTGTAAACAGGAAAGCTTTTAAGCTAAAACAAATTTCGTCAGCGATTTCATTCTCAACTTAAGTTTGTTTTTGGCAACCCATTTAGAGCAAAACGTGCTAAGAAAATTCGGCTAAAAGCAAACAAAAAGGATATGTTTAATGTAATTAAAAGCCGTGGTAGTTCAGCGGTTAAGTGCTCATAAATTTCACAATACGTGAACTTTCCGGATTCGATCTCCGTCGGCACCAATTAACAAATTTGCATATTAAGTGCTGCTTTATCACGTGCTCCTCGTTGGGACAAAATATTGTGAGGAAATGTTTGAGAAATAACAGATTTCAAGGACATATAAAATTCGCCAATACACCACTGGAGTCCCGTGTAGTGGAGTCCCGTGTAGTGACGGGTAAGAATACCCACTACCCCATCTTGGCATGGGTAGCAGCATCTTTCTGATAACAGCAAAAGAACAATAAAAAAAACTGCGGTCCCAAACCCGCTGCCAAATGTGGGCAACTATGACAATACCCCCCCCCCCCCCCCCCAAGATTAAAGTTACGAAGAGACAGCCCCAGTCCCCGGCGGCTCCGCTATTCCTGGCTACGGTGGGGACCATGGTAACGGCAGGGCAGGGGGTGCAAAGAATCTCCGGTGAAAGTTCGGTTGCCACCTAAGACGACTCGATCTGGAAACATAACGCACGCACCCTGATGACTGACAAGAAGATCCTGGAGCTGGAAGAAGAGATAGACTAGTTGCGCTGGAATATTATAAGATTATCTGAGGTCCGATGAGAGAGGAAAGACATGGTAATCATCGAATCCGTCTACTTGTTCTATCACCGGGAGGGCGACCATTTGTCCCAAGGAGGTGTCGGATTTTACGTTCACAAGTCTCTCGATTGAGAGTGTGTCGACGAGGGTTGCGTATTTTATCGTAAGAAACAATAAAAAGTTTTTCGCTGATGGTGATACAGGTTTACGCGCCAACCTCGGTACATCCCGATGAGGAGATGGAGGAAATGTATGAGGATATATCTAGAGCCATGCATTCCTCCATAACCCACTATACGGTTTTAATGGGAGACTTCAACGTAAAACTAGGCATAAGGGAGAACGGTGAGCTGAAGGTAGGGAAATTTGAAATTGGGCGACGGAACCCAAGGGGCCAGTAGCTAGCCGACTTCATGGAGAAGAAGGGACTATTTATGATGAACTTTTTTCTCCAGAAGCGGCCCCACGGGAAGTGGACCTGGTCGAGCCCCGACGGTTCGACCAAAAATAAGATTAACTTCATTATGACGACCAGACGACAACTATTCAGTTATGTCTCAGTGATAGTGAGGGTGAAAACCGGCAGCGATCACCGAATGGTTAGAGGCACATTGAACCTAAACGCTAAGTTGGAGTGGTCACGTCCAATGAAGTCAAGGCTCCGCCCTCTCGTGCTCTAATCCAGAATCTAGAAACCTTTCAGCTACCAAACCGTTTTCAGTGCCTAGGAGACTGCAATACAGTGGACGATATGAATGATAAGCTCGTGGACCAGACCGTATGGACGGAGCTAAGTTTTGCAAACCCGCCGCAGAAGAACATAAAACTCTCCGATCACACTCTTAATCTCATGGCTGTTAGACGGGAAAAGAAGTTGCAGTCTTCACTAGATTTGACAGCATACAGGCAAATGAACAGACAGATTTCCAAATGCTTGTGGCGGGATTTACGCAACTTTATTACTGCTCATATTGAAGAAGCGATCGAGAAGAACGAGGCCTCCAAAGTCTTTATTTATTTATTTATTAATTTGCTTTTTAGTATGTATGTTATATGAAATATTATTAAATACTATGTATACATACATGACGTCAGTCTTAGCGACATTAGAATGGCTCTCCAGCACCTTAAAAACGGCAAGGCCCCAGGCGATGGAATGATGGAATTACAGCGGAGCTTCTGAAAATGGATGGAAAACCGGTATTTGGAGTCCTTCAGAAGCTCTTTATTTCGGCCTCCATAGTTGCACTACACCAAAGGCGTGGAGCAGAATTGTGGCGGTATTGTTCTTCAAGAAAGGCGACAACGCTCTCTTGAAGAACTACAGAACGATTTCCCTTCTGAGTCGCGTCTACGTGCTGTTTTAGAGAGTCATTATGAATCGTCTCGCATGCAGGCTCGACGACTTCCAGCCTCCCGAACAAGCTGGTTTCGAAAAAGGCTTTAGCACCATATACCACAAGCATAGCCTACGGCAAATTGTACAGAAGTCCAAGGATCACAATTTGCCACTATGTCTGGCGTATGTGAACTATGAGAAAGCCTATGATTTCGTCGAAATTTGGGCAGTGCTGCAGTGCCTCCAGCGGTGCCAAGTTGACTGTCGGTATACCGAAGTGCTGATGTGTTTGTTTAGTAGGGCTACGATGGCTATCCGAGTACAGGAATCAGAAAACGAAAACTATCCAACTGCTGAGAGGTGTAAGACAGGGTGACGTTATATCCCCGAAACTCTTCACCGCTGCATTGGAAGACGTTTTCAAGTTTCTGGACTAGAAACCATACGGTATTAACATCAACGGCGAATACATCACTTTCCTTCTATTTGCCGACGATATAGTCTGTTGGAGGACCTAAGCACTATGCTCAATAGAATAAAATAGAATAGAATAGAATAATTTTTATTCAATATTGATTATTACATAATACTTATTGAAAGTAATTTTTTATTTACCAATGACCTCAATAATGCATCCTAACGGATAGGTCTTAAGATGTACATGGACAAAACAAAGATCATGTATA